GGAAACTTAAGCCGTCCAAGATCATTTTCTACCGTGATGGAGTCAGCGAGGGTCAGTTTGACCAAGTTCTGGTTCATGAAGTGCGTGCTGTTCAGGAGGCTTGTATGATGCTAGAAAAGGAATATCCCCCAAGAATCACTTTTGTTGTGGTTCAGAAGCGGCATCACACAAGATTGTTCTGTGAAGAGAGACGAGATGCCTCAGGCAAAGCTCAGAATGTACCTCCAGGCATCACCGTGGACAGTGGTATAACACACCCATAAGCGACCACCTCCGAAATTCGAAAAAGTGGTCGTACGTAAAGCTGGTCGCTTACAAGAATGAGCTCTCGTAAGCGGCCGCGTGGTAAGACAATCGAGGGTGGTGGCGTAAGCCCCGGACAAACGATCGCAACATTTCAACGCAACATATCGCAACATTGTTGGAAGCAAAATGTTGCGCGCGTTTGGCCACCCTGTTTCGATGTCCTGAGTATTGTTGGGTAAAGTTTGAAACTGGTCAAATTTTTCATGCAACATTTGTGGATGTAGCATGATGTTCTAGTCGTTTGGCCAGGTTCGTGCAACAATGTTGCGCCCGGGCATGCGCACTAGTTCGATTTTCAATACCCAGCAAGTCGCAACACGTCGCAACAGGGTGGCCAAACGCGCGCAGCATGTTGCACCCAACAATGTTACGATAGGTTGCGTTCAAATGTTGCGATCGTTTGGCCGGAGCTTGCAAATCCTGGGCGAAGAATGTTGGGATATGTTGTGTTGAAATGTTGCCATTTTTTGGATGAAACTTTACGAGAGCTTCAGAAACTCAATGATTCGCAAAGATAAAACGAAAGATTTATGTTTAACGGGTGTCTTTATATCTGACATAGACACGGCTAATTTTTACGTTCAATTTTTTTTTTTGACTAAAATAACCATCAGCGCAGTGTGCATTTTTATTAAAATGTTGATGTATATGTAAAAGATTCTGAGTGGTCGCTTACAAGAGTTTAAAAACAAAGGAAAAGTCCAGTTGGGTAATCCAAGAGAGTGGTCGCGATCGCTTACGGCGCGGTCACTTGCAACAGCTTTTCACTACAAAGTTTAAATCACAGTTCAAACGGGGTTTCACAAAGGTGGTCGTAACCAGAGCTGGTCGCTTACGAGATTGGTCGCAAGGAGAGCTTTGGCTGTATGTAACGTTTGGAAAAGTTTTTTTTTTTTGCTATTTTAACTCAGTGGGAAACTCCAAGTTGCCTAACAGTGGGTTGTGATGAACAAGTTGCTTTCTTTTTTTAAATTTATTGTAAAATAGCATATTACAAATAAACCACGAAGTTAAAAAAATCTTAGGTAACGTGCGTTTTGGAAGATTTGGATTAGGATAAATATCGATTTGTGATCCAGGATCACTAAGATCATGGTGTATCAAACGACCTGTTGTATTTGCTCTGGACAATGATTCCTTGGTTCCTTTGATGCGCCATGATCCGAGTGATCTTGAATCACAGGCCTTTTCTTGGTCATCCTAAAGGAACGCAACATTAGACCTGCTGGTAAAGACCCCTGACACTCATCAACCAGTAATCTAATCAGTTTGTCTGTCTTTCTGTGTCTGCTTTCTTGTTTGATTTTTTGTATGCCTTTTCTATGCGTTTCCCTATCTATCTGTCTGTGCGTCTATTCTGCTTGTCTGCCTAACTGACTGACTGTCTTTGTCTATCTGTCCCCTCTAAACGCATCCCACCTGCTTATCTTTTTAGAAGCAGCCGATCAGTTCATTCCCTCCTTTCCTTGCCTTTACATATTAACTTAGTTTCTGCTGACCAAGTTGTTTATTGGTAATATAAACGTTCTTCTTCTTCCTTTTTTTTTTTAATTAAACTTTTAAGATAAATCCCCTCTCCTCCCACAGTCCTTCTCCTCTTATATATTTTTTATATTTTTTTTAAATAGTTTTATTTTAAATTGTAATTAGTTAGGAATTGTAATTAGTTAGGAATTTTTATTTTATACGACCACATCAGCTCTGCTAAAATGTTTGATTATTAAAATTTTATTATCATCATCATCATCATCATCATCATCATTATCATCATCATTTTTGTTAGACATTAGCTTATGCATTACGTAACTGTAATCTTTGTTTTAGACCAGGTATTTACCTTGCTCAGACTTTCAGGCTGTAATTTTACCGTGAAGGTTATTGGTTTCTCCCCAGGGAACAAGCCGACCCACACACTATCACGTTTTGTACGACGATAACGCCTTCACAGCAGACGGTCTTCAACAGCTCACTTATCAGCTATGTCACGTATATGCACGGTGCACTCGCAGTGTCTCGATGCCAGCCCCTGCCTATTATGCACATTTGGTAGCATTCCGAGCTAGACACCATGTATTTTTTTTTTTTGTGGCAAGATTTTCGGCAAGTTTTCTACTCTCGTGGCCTTGTTTGTTTGTTTGTTTGTTTTAATGGTTGTCGTGTTCAACTTTTTAGGGGCGGCGATACTGTAGATTTGGAGAAGTCTGCAAGAGTGTGGAGGCAACAGCCATGCTTTTAAGTATAGGATGCCAAAAGTATCTAAGGACGTTTTTAAGTTTTCTTTTTTTCC